ATCTCACGTCCTGTTTCCAAGGACCCTGATGGCCACTTTTGGTCTTGTTTATAGAGAAAGAGATTTGTATTTTGGGACCCAGCCCCAGCACACATCCTTTCCTTAGGAAGAGTTGCTGCCATCTTAGACAGGACCGATTGCTTATTCCCCTCTCTGTCATGCCTGGGTGTTTGAGGCACAGTGGGTTGTCCTCAGGTTGCTGGGTCTTTTCAAGCCACTTGTGTCTCCACATTAACCAATGCATTTATCAGGTGATGCACAAAGTTAAAATCAGAAATCTAAGCTTCCCTCCATGTGAACCTTAATCCAGTTGGCAAACATGGAAGCGGCCAAAAGCCAGAGGGAATTTCCCTCCTCCTGGTGAGAATGCTGAGTCACGCTCAGCTCTCTGGTGGTGACACCATGCACTTCAACAAAACATAAGGAAAACAAGGCTTTCACCAGGCTGCTGTGAGCTTACCTCACCCGTCACGGGACACGGCTGACTCAGTGAGTCATCTCCTTCTCTTCCTCCTCGAGGTTGGGGATTTCCTCCCAGCAAGCTCTTCTCTGGTCCAGACCTTGGACCTCACTCTCCCTGCATTTCCTATTGCCCCCAGCCCTGAGATGTGCCTCTGGGCAGTTTCTCAGCCCCCCGTCGAGCCCATGCGAGCAGCTGGGCTGTAATCCCACAGATGTTGAGATGTTTTTCCCTCTGTTTGCTGGGGCATCCGGGTTTTGGCATTCTCAGCGTGCAGCTCTGGCTGTGTGGATGTTTTCTTATGGTTCTTTAGAAATCCCATAGCATCACAGCTCAAAAAGTGGTTCGTCAGCCCTTGGTGCTGAGCAGCCAGCTTCGCAGGTGGATGTGGCAAAGGAACAGCAAAAGGGGTGGGGGAAAAAAAGCTGTTTGAGTTTTAAATTTCAAATGTATAGAGGAAAAGCTCAAAAAAGGAGCAATGAGCGTCCCTGCAGTGCTCTGCTTTCTCTCTACACCCACTTTGGGCTGGGAAGTGTTTAAAAACATTTGGTGAGGCTCTTGCTCTGAGGGCATGATCACCAGGATGCTCCTTATGGCCAAACTTCTCATGTTCACAGTAAAGCCCTGGCAGGATGAAGGCTGGGGGGGGGGTAGGGTGGGGTGTCTATTTCTTCATTGCAAATCACCATAGAGGCTGATGATGATTTTCCAGAGGGAATTCTTCCCTAAATCATTGCTCCATCCTGAGGCCCAAGTCACTGCCCTGGCACTCTTGGTGAGGAGGGGGAGGTTTGTCCTGTGTGTCCCCACAGCTCTGGCAGTGATGTGTGGTGATGGAGGGGCAGTGCAGAGCCGCAGCGGGTGGGTGCTCATCAGGCTGGACTGGGTGCTGCAGACCACACGCTCCTTCCAGATGTTTCTGGAGAGGCGCAGGATGCTCTGGACACATCAGTCAGATGGCAGTGACTCAGCTTGATCCCATGATGGTTTCCCTCCTCCTCCAGCCCAGTGAAAACAACTCGGTGCCTCTGAAGCAGAAACTGTCCTTCCCCAACCGCGCAGGCAGAAGGCAAAGCTGGGAGGGTTTATTTTTGCTGTCTCATTTTTGAGGTTGAGTCTTGCTGAAGGTTAGCTCTGCCACGTCAGGTGTTTACACAGGCTCAGCACCACTTCTCATTGGTGCGATGTGTAACCTTTAAGGGCAGGAAACTCTGGGATGGTGTTTTCACTGAGACAGAGGAGCAGATAGGGAAAACACTTGGAAAGCAGGCACAAAGTACAATCACACTACGGGTGTCGTGAAAATACTTAAGGATTTCATGTTCCCAGAAGTGAGCAGGAATGCTTTGCAGCCTACATAAATTGCTTGGGGTAAATGTTGCACTGAGAACCTGATGTGTGGCTTTTGCCCTGAATTAAAGCATCAGCGTGTCAACACATCCAAGGTAAACACCCTGTTGTGATCTTCATCTCTGGTGGCGAAGGAGGACTTGGAATGCTTCACAGCAGCCTATAAGACACACAGAAAACGAAGTTATTTTGCTCTATGGGACAAACAGCAAGTGCTGTTTGCCTGGGGAGGACTGAGCCCAACCTGCTCAAAATCCAGAGCCAAGCTCTTTAGCGAGCTAGATAAAATCAGCTACAAACCTGGATTACATTCCCTATCTAGGCCTAACAAATGTTTTCTCTTTCTAATTTCTGTAATGGCCTCAGGACCTCTGGGTTGCTTTTGGAGTGCTCTCCGTGGAAGGCCCCTCATTTCTGCAGCGTGCTCAGTATTGCCAACATCAACTGTTCAAAGATCACGAGATCCCCTTAAAACAACCATCTTCTCGCTGTTTATTTGCTGCTGGGGTTTGAGTCTCTGCAGTTCATCTTTTAGACTTTGACCAAGGCTCAAAGTTTGCTCGTTAAAAACAGAATAAAAGCCAAAACTGGGATAAAGGGGGGGATTTCAAGAATAAAAGGGGACTTTGCAGGTCTGAGAGACAGATCACAAGCAGTTTTGCTTAGTCCCTCGTTTTTCACAAGAGAGCCCAAGGTTTCTGTCATGCGAGGGTGCTATAAAGCTCATTCATTTCTTCAGACTTTTATGAAGACAAAGTGTAACAGCAGAAATTAGATTAAGCTTTATCCTTGGGAAAGAGTCTAATTAATTGTCTTGGAGGAATTATTAATGCTATTCCGTTCCCTTCCACTGCAGACACACCACATACCCTGGGTGGCAGGAGCGTTTCGCACCTCTGAAAATAAACCAGCCAACACCTAATGCTCTAAAACGTGTCATGTTATCTCCCTAAACGCTGTCACAGTGGTAGGATTTCATATGCCTTTCCCATGAAGAGCTTTTGCTTGTCTGCAGCCCCTGGGGTTTGGGGGTGGGAAGTTGCCATTAATTCCTGTGAACCTTCTGTGTGCTTCTGGGTTTAACACATAGGTTTAAGGCAAGAAAGCACGCGGGCTGGGTGGGACAGAGCTTCTGGGGCTTGTTTTCTTTGTTCTGCTGGTGAAAACACTGTTGCTGGTGTGGATGGGATGTGCTGCTGGATCCTGTTCTGTGGTGATGGTCACTTGGGCAATGCCTTGCAAAATCCCGGGAAGGAAGCACAGATTCCTCATTCTTTCCAGTGTTCCCAAGAGTGATGTTCAGCGATGTTCAGCCTTACTCAGGGATGTGCCTGGCGTGAGCCCTGCAGCTCCTGGCTGGCTTCTGGCAGTGGAGGCAGAAACCTGGTGCCATCCAAAGGGCTCCCTCTGCCGATTTCCTTCCTGGATGTTCTAGCCACCAGGAGAGACCGTTTCGGGTTGAAAGACGTGTTTTATTTTATAAACTAGAGAAGAGTCCAAGGATGCAGCAGACACGACCATCCCTGCAGAAATGGGTGATCCCTACTTTGCTTTCTACACACTTTCAGTGCCTCAAGGCAGCCCCTGGGTGCTGAGCTCCCTTTGCCTTTCCAGAAGGGAATGGAGTAGAGGCCTGAGGACCCATTTGATGGATTTCCCCATCCCAGAAGGATTCCTGTGTCAGCTGGAGTGCTGCTGGAGGAAACATGCCCATGGAGCATGGATGACTCCCAGCACATCCCTGCTGGCTACTTCAGCTCCAAGGCTGCAGCCGAGCATCTCTGAGTGCCTGGATCCCCATTCCCACCTCTGCTTCACCTTACATTACTCTCTAATTGATCCAAACATTTCAAGCAACAGACTTGGATCACTGGATGCCAAATATTTACACATCTGAGAACTATTTACTTGCTAAAAGAGCTCCAGGGAATGGAAGATGGTTACTTTTGCTGCATGAATGATGTACCCACATATGGACCACATAAGCTGCCACCTCCTTTTTGACCTCATGGACAACCACAGGAACAAATTCAGGTGATGGAGCTGTGTAAACTCAGCATTTCGAACCCAGCCTCCCTGTATGGCTCCTCCTGGTCTGCAGTGAAATAAAACCAGACCCATTAATAGCAGAAAACAAGGGCAAAATAATATTTAAATCTGTTTTCTCCCATCCTTCACCCAAGAAGCAGCTTGAGGCCATAACCCCGGTTGCCAGGTCCTTTGGAAGAGCAATAGTGTCCTTCCAGGCAGCAACTCCCATTTGCAGTATTCATCCGGCATCGATTTCCTCTCAGTAAACATTAAGTGCTGCTTCCTTGACCAAGATGAAATGCTCCTGCGGAATGGCAGTGAATATGCACTCACTGCACGGCCATGGGGGCTGCTGCCTGCCCCTCATCCTGCATGCACACCCCCAGCTATGCGAGGGTCCTTGTGCACACCCCCATGCACAGAGATGTGTGTGCATACAGGTGCACGTGCACACACCCACATGGCCATATGGATGTATGGACCCAGGCAAATGCACACAGATACACAGACCCAGGCATGTGTGTGCATGTGTATACACCCATGCAGACATCCACAGGTATCTGCGTACCTCTGTACAGACACAGGTGTGTGCACAAGTGTGTGTATGTGCGTCTATATGAATGAACCAAGTATGTGTACGTGCACACACACGTACACACACGTTTACACACACACCTATACATATGTATGTACACACACGTTTACACACACACCTATACGCATGCATGTACAGACACGTTTACACACATGCCTATACGCATGTATGTACACACACGTTTACGCACACGCCTATACGCATGCATGTACACACACGTTTACACACACGCCTATACGCATGCATGTACACACACGTTTATGCACACGCCTATACGCATGCATGTACACACACGTTTACGCACACACCTATACGCATGCATGTACACACACGTTTACGGACACGCCTATACGCATGCATGTACACACACGTTTACACACACACCTATACGCATGCATGTACACACACATGTATGTACACACATGTATGTACACACATACATACACACACTCACCCCTACCTCCGCAGTCCCCGCACGGGGGCGCTCTCCGTCCGCTCCCGCCCCGCCCCTTTGGCACCGCCCCTTTGCCACGCCCCCCCCGCCCCGCCCGGCCCCGCCCGCCCCGGCGCGGCCCGGCCCGGCGCGGTCGCTGCCTGGGGCCGGCCGGGCGGTTCGCCCTGGTCCGCTCCTCTCCGCTCCGCTCCGCCGAGGCCGCGCCGCGCCCGGGCCATGCGGCCGCCCCCGCCGGCGAGGAGGCGATGAGGCTCCGCAGCGGCACGGCGCTCACGCTGCTGCTCGGCTGCCTCTGCGCGCTGCTCTCGCTGTCCTGGTACGGCGCCTTCGGCGGGCACAAAGGTACGGGAGGCTCGGCTGGGACCCGGCCGTGGGTTGGGGCGGGGGGTGTTGGGGGACCCGGGCCCCGCTGGATCCCGGGGGTCCGGTGCGACCCGGACCTGGGGTAATCCTGACCGGCGGGATCCGGCGGGAGCCTCTGGGATCCGGACCCGCTGGATCCGGCGCGTCCTGGCCCCGCGGGACCCCCGGTGCGGGCGTGCCCGCCCGTGCGCAGCAGGGCCGGAGGTGCCAGTGCCGGGGGTCCCTGCTCGACCCCGCTTGCGGGCGTCCGGGTCCCGGTGCCCTGTGCTTCGCTTCGGTGATGCGGTTCTTGCACCCTCGGGTTTGTGGTGAACACCTTCGTGCGCGGTGGGTCCTCGTGGGGAGGTGGCGATGCCACCTCTGGGTGGGGGGAGCAATCCGGTAGTGAGGGGCTCAGGGCAAACTGGAGGTGAGAGATGCGAGCAGCGCTGCCCGCCCCGCACGTTCCTGCGGCTCGATGCTGGGTTCAGTAACTGAAGTGCGCAGGGAACCAGTGCGAGGGCTGCCGGTTTCAGTGCTTCGGTATCGGTGCTAGGTTTGCACCGAGTAGGTGGCTGTGCAGCAGGGAGGCAGGGCCCCGTCCCGTTGAGGAACAGCACACAGGTGTCACAGAGATGCTCACCCCTGTTTTTTCCTGACAACGGAATAGTTGCTTTTCCCCATCCTGGCGCTCGCTAAAGCAGGGCACCAGATTTAGCCTGGCCTGGAGGACAGTTCAGTTAGTTGCTTCTGAATTGTGTATCTGACTTGTGCATGGGTGCGGAACCTCTCGTGTCCATGCTAAGCCACTCAGCTCTTTCAGTTCCTGCAGTTTCAGAGGTTGTTGAAGGTAGGCAGTATGGCCATCCTTGACCCTTGTTTCCCATCACCATAAAAGCATCTGTCCCTGCTACAGGTGAGAAGCAGCTTTTGCTGAGCCTAAGATGTGACTCGGTGGCATTGCTGTCCCACAGCACACCATGCACGGTCACAAGGTGTAGCGTGTGTATGGTGCAAGGCTGGTGGCAGGGCTGGGGGAAGGTGTTTTGGCTCCGGTTGTCAGGATGACACGAGCCCATGTAGGTGCCCATCCAGCTCAGCAGCAGGGCAGGAGTGCCTGGGATATGCCATCTTCCCCTGGCAGCTGTAGGCTGCTTGGAGTTCTCTGCCTTGTTGATCAGCGGAAGGGGTTTCCTGTTGTGCTACTGATGTGGTTTAACTCCCTTCGGAGCTGCCTCGCACAGAGGCTTGGGTGGCAGGCACTTGTAGTGCAGGAGAACCACCGGTGGGTTGGTTGGCTTCTGCTGGGGACATTTTTAACTGGGCAGAACACTTGCACAACCAGGTGTATGTGCTTTCAGCCAGAAATGTTAGACGGTAACTGTGATGCACTCTGAGAGGTGCGTTCTTGAGGTTCCTGCTGAGCAGTTGCTTTACTTGTAGCTCCCTCCCGTAAATGAAGTGAAACTGACCTGCCACGCTGCACGGGCTGTGAGCAGTCACTCCTGGTTTCTGGAGCAGGGTGGCCAGCCCTGTGCTGTCTGTACTGTGTCATCCTTTGACTCCCTTCTGTTTTCTAACAAGTAGCTTTTCCCCATTGCTCTGTCAAGCACCAAAATCAGAACCCTGGTCACCACTGTCCCTGTCCTTCTTGGTAGGACCCTCCCTGGGGTACATTTTCCTCTGACAGCAACAGATTGTGTCTTGCGAACAGCGATGGCTACAACAGGTCACAAGCAGCGTGGGTCAGGCTGTGTCAGCACGGCAGGTTTCCGGCTATTATGGTCATTTATGTATCAGGCTGTTACTCAGTACAGAGCTGGAGAAGACCTTGAGAGGTCATCCAGACATCTCCTGCCCCTGTGCAGGATCGGTGATAACCAACCGCTTCCCGACAGATGTTTATCGTATCCATTCTTAAAACCCTCTGATGGCAGATGCCTGGGCTCTCTGGACAATCTGACATTTAGCAGCTCTGCCATTCGATCTGTCTTACAAGCTGAACAGAAATGTCTTTTCCTTCAGTTCGGTTTCATGATTGCTCTTCTGTTTTCCATTTATGGGGCACAGGCAGAAAAGTTCCTTCCTCCCTTCTTTGCAGGAGCCTGTGGGACATTTGGAAGTTGCTGCTGTGTTTTCCCTTAGTCCCTGCTACTATCAATTCAACCATGCTGGTTCCTTTGATCATTCTTTTTAGCTTCTGTATTCTTGGTTTGCAGTCGCTCTTGTTCCTCTCGTCTGGACCACCACCCTTTGTGAAGAGTGATGCTTAACAGAGTAAGGGATTACTTCAGGTCTTTCACATGCAGCGATGCTGTTTGTACATCCCAGTGTGTTTGCTTTTTACTTTTGCTGCAGAAACTTGTGTTTCATTTTATGTTTAATCCCCTCAACCCTTCAGCCATTCTTCTCCAGAACTCTTCCTGCTTTTCATTCCTCACCTTGTACTTGCTGGTTAATTATTCTTATCAAGTCACATTACCTCACACTTGTCCTTGTTGAACTGTGTCCTTTTGTGTTTTTTCAGACTGCTCCTTCTAACGTGTCAGGATTGTTTTGAGTTCTCATCTTGCTCTCCTGCATGCTTGCCGTCCCCCTCAGCTTGGTGCAGCCTTCAAAGGCAATCGGGGTGTTTTCTCTGCCATCAGCCAAGCTATGAATGAAAACACCAAGTGGTGTCAGATCTGGGATGGGTTCCCCTGAAACCTGCTTCAGTAAAGTCCTCCCAGTCTGTGATTGAAGAGCATCAACCAGTTTGCTGGTGTGCTTCCCACCTTCATAGGGTTCAGTGCAGCCCCCATGTCCCCAGCTGTATTATGGGGACTTCCTATGAGACATTATCAGAGATGTCTCTGGAATCTTTGTTTCTCCTCCCCTTCCTATAAGTCCTTGCACCCTGTCACAGGAAGAGGTATGATAGGTCTGATGTGATTTGCTCTTGATAAACAGAAGTTATCTCTTGCTCAAGTTCTCCTTGTTTTCTAAGCACTTCAACCAAACCTAAGCTGATTATTCTGTAGTTTCCTCATCCTCTTTATCCTCATCTTATTTTTCAAAGACAGGCTTTGTGTTTGCCAGTCCTCTGTAACATCAGCCGTCCCTCATGAGTGGCTGGAGACAACTCCCAGTGATCCTGAGCTGCTCATGTCATTGGGTTCTGGGGAAGGCTGTCAAGGTGCCTGTGTTCACTCTGATGGGGTAAAATATTATATTAAAACACATGTAAAGCATCACAGAATCTTCGTGTCTTCCTGCTCTGTGTTGGGAGGACAAAACAATTAGTCAAAAGAAATCAAACCAGGTCAAACCAGCTCTAGAGCTGCTTCTCTGTGACTGATGCAGGGTTTGTTTACCTGCTAATGATGTTTTGCTGTGCTGTGGTTATTAGTAAAGTTTTGACCTCATGGTCTGTAAAAACAGATGCTGCATCTTTCCAATTATAAATGAGGTTTGAAATAGTCTGCTGGAGTAGGAAGAGAAGGGCAGCCTCAAATAGCACAACCAGTCACCCAGGCAGCCAACGTCCAGCATCACGGGTGGTTTGGAGGTGGACCACGTGCTGCACATGGTGGTGGTGGTGAGTGTCTTGGCCAAAGATTAATATTCTCTCTGCTGATTTTAGGTTTAAGTATGATTTAACTTTCACAACCGAACGGCTGCTCTGGAAGAAGCTCTTCCATAAACTGCTGTCATGAGGTGGACCTGTAGGCTTTAACTGTGTAGGGTAACCTGTGGTCAGAGGATCAAGGCACCGGCAGGCTCAGGCATTAGCATGCCTGACATGGAAATTACAGGGGATGCTCTACTGAGATCTCAGTAAAACAGAGAAGCTTTCATGACTTTAGGCAAGTCACAGGTGCAGGTAGGATGAAAGTGAACAATTAAACCTACCTGTAATTAAATTGTTCTGGTTTGTTTCTTTCCATGATGAAAACTGTTCAGTTCTCCTCCATAATGTTTGTTCCCATCTTGACTGACCAACGAACTAGGTCCTCCCAACATGCTGCCCCTTGGGAATGCTGCATTTTGAAGGTGGGATTACACCTCCAGGGTATGGCTGCCTAGCTCAGGGTGGGCTCTGTGCCCATGCTGCCTGCGCAGGCTTCCCCTGGCAGCTTTTTCCCCCTCAAATCTTAGTGATTTATAGTTACCCAATACTAGCCAGCTCCAGGTTTCCATTGTAAAAGCACAACTGCAGGCGCCTCTGTACCTGTAGATGTAGGTGCACAGTGGGGTTGTTCTTCGCATAGTGGCTTCACACCCCTAAGATCAGTTTTGATTGCATGCTATTTTGGATCTCACCTTGTGGGAACTGTTCTTCCCATGGGCATTGTGGAAGCGCTTCAGAATAGATGTGCACAGCTCCTTGAAGGAGTCACCCCACGCATCCTGGGAGGGTACCTCTGTGCAGCTCTGAGTGCAGGGTCTCTCCTGTGACTTGTGAACGTGGTGGAGAGTGGGGTGATCGTGGGGCACCAGCTGCAGTGTGGACGTTGCTCTGGTGCCCGTTGCAGCCGTGCAGGCTCAGACAGCATCTCTGTAAAGTAATATTGCTTGTCTGGTGCTGTGTGCGGTGCTGGCTCTGCTCGCTTGGGGTGTCCTTTGTGGGAAACAGACTTTGTCCCAGAGGGACACTTCTCTGAGCGTGTTTACAAAGTCTCCTTATATAATGCATAAGAGCCGTGATCGCTAATCCGCTCTAGAAGCCGCGGAGTCAAAGCTTGTGATACTGCTAAATACGAGCTGTCCTGTGGCATGCACGGCTTCCTGCTGCCATTTCATCTCTGTTACCTGCAGCAGCTTGACTTCAGCATTCTGTCCTTTCTTTGAGGTCTTGGGCACTGGCTGCAGCCGGATGGATGTGAGTGAAAACCCTGGTCTGAGCTGGGGTCATTTCACTACAGCCCTTGGAAGCATTTAGCAGGAGGAGAGATGCCAGCAGCAGACCCGCTGTGTGCTCCTGATGGCTGGGGAGGTGCAGGCAGGGACCTGGTTGAGGA